CCGACTATTCTTTATGCTGGCTTTCTAAGAAAGTGACTGCTGCGTCGTTCGGTCCTAAGTCCAAGTCCTTCATTTGTGTCGTATTTTGAGTCAGCGTATCTTGTATTTGGTCAGAGCTAATGGCCTTCCCTAGACGTAGAGTTCTGAATGCCACACGGTGTTGTAAGGGGTCCATATCATCAGTTCAAAGGAATCCGACATGCCGGTATTTCTGTTTGCATGTATATCTTCCCACTGTGACCCATCTGCCGTGGATACAATAACAAGTATATGATGTGTACTCATCAAACCCGCATTCGCATGGTCATCAAGGGAGTGACCTTGGGCATAGAATGACATATACGCCGATAGTGGACACGTGAAGATTCCGGGGTAGAATAGGTCTTCAGCAACCTATGTTTGCTTTAAAGGTGACTATGCTTGTCGTAAAAGGCGACTAAAGGGATCGGGTGGTCAGGCTCCCTGACTTGGTTGATGCATGTCATCGATCCCAATTGCGTGGATCGATGCTCATATCAATCACTGGATTGTCTGGTCCAGACTCGATTATTTACAGACCGCCGTCATATAGCTGGAATATTGCTGAGTGCGGCGTTAAACAACAAACCAACCAACCAACTATGCCGATAGTGCCGATAAGGAACCATAGCAGATAAATGTTTTCCTTCAAGAGATAAATCAGATTTAGGTTGATCAATTCTAACCCGGAATACCCACGGGGTATAGTAGTTATTTACTATTCGACACATTGCCCGTGAAGATCCGGGTGAGACGAGGTCTTCGGCAACCCATGCCTGCCGTAAAGGGGACTATGCTTGTCGTAAGAGGCGACTAACGGAATCGTGTGGTTAAGCTCGCTGTCTTGGTTGAATTGAGTTTCCCTCTGGGATCTTCAGCAACCCATGCTTGTCGTAAAAGGCGACCAACGGGATCGGGTGGTCAGGCTCGCTGTCTTCGTTGATGCTTGTCATCGTATCCCAATTGCGTGGATCGATGCTCGTGATGTCAATCACTGGATTGTCTGGTCCAGAATCGATTATTTACAGACCGCCGTCATATAGCTGGAATATTGCTGAGTGCGGCGTTAAACAACAAACAAACAAACACTATTCGACACCGGGATTACATCGGTTCACATCGGGTACATGTATCTATGAATCCATGAAACCAACATATACCCATCATCATTACTTCATGGGTTTGTAGACACTAGCTTCGCCCATTATCCGTGACTACACATCTGATATGATATATAGTGGTGGCGTTTGTCGAGATTTAGTAAATATAACGTTAACATGTCCATAGTCATAAGAAATATCTACTAAAAGAGTAAAATACGACTATATCACAATCATGTAGTTATGAATCACTATCAATTAGTGATTATACCTGGACCCACTTGCACAAAGCGATCTTAGCGCTAATACTATTGTAAGCCTATTACGGGAGTTACGATCATCTTAGCGCTAAGATCGTTTTGTGCAAGTGGGACCAGGTGTTCGCGAAAAGGTGAGCGTATCCTGCCTCCGGTGGCACCGTCATAAACACGTGCAAAGGCAAGTCAATCACCCGAACAAACGCGTGAACAGATTAGCGTCACTAACAAGTAAAATAGGGAATTGCATCGGACATATTTTTTGTCACTGATGCGTCAAATTTGAAACGTCCTTCACAGGGATGTCTACCATAAAAAGTTTTGAAAGTGTTACTGAGGCATTAAGGTTGTAACCCAGATGAAACAACTTTTTGAGCAAGAGACATATGAATCCCTTTGAAATCTTCGTAGAAAGGCCATGCTCGATTGTACCTCAAAAGGTATGAAATAAAGTAATGAAACGAGGCCGTGTCAAATGTGCCCTGCATGAACTTTGTGCTGACCCTACCGGTGCCTTCTATTATAATAACTGGTAGAGCGGATGGTCGTAAAGCTATGGCATGTGCTGCACGAGCAATATGGCCGCTAGACTACCTACCTAATGCGTGTTATATTCTTCAGCTATTGTTTTCTTATCGACACTCATCTTTACAGTCCGTTAATACATGTCCCTGCAGGCGGGTGAGAGTGTACAAAAGGAAGCAGATCGTGTCAGCGGAAGGCCCCATTTATATAATAAAATTATTATATTATACAACTGACCACAAACACTGGCTGCTGGTTTATCCAGAGATTGGAAAAGGTCATTATTGTCACATCTCTTATTCGTTTCCACGAAGTATTTTTTCATGCAATATTCATAGCAACGTATAATGTGCTTTTCCGAAATTCATTATCTCTTTCAACGTCTGACATACAATGTTCAGTGCAATGATCCGATATTCAATTCTATGCTCACAGTCTGTATACTAGCTGCAACAGTTCGCGGTTTCTATGTACAAAAGACAATCTGGGGGCACGGGTGACCATGACGTCTAAGGCGCCGCGATTCGCTGTGCATAGTTGCGTCCCTTTGGCACGCCAGAAACCTATGATTGTGGGTTCGAATCCCGGTTCGCCCCGATTATGTTTCTAGGTTTGTCAGCACCATACCCGTGCTCGTGGGTTTCACCGAAGTGGTAAACGTCCGAGACCTGCATCACTTCTTGTCACGCCGCGATATGACTGGAATACTGTTAAAAGTGGCATTAAACGCAACTCACTCACTCACTCATTTCTGGTGTCCACGCCGTGATATTACAGGAGTATTGCTTAAAGCGGCGTAAAAACATACTCACTCACTCAAACTTATTTCGCGTTTGCTTATTTATACAATATGCGAAACAGCGCCTCAATGTCTTATATTCAATATTCGTTGCCAAGTTACAAGAATCATAGCAACGCATAAGTACATGTGTATTTTTATTCACTTTCAATATTCGACTAAATGAGACAATACTCCATGTAACGTGGTGAAGTTCCACTTAATATCCAATCCTGTAAGCTACAAGGCATTTACATTGAAATAAACCAACGGACAAAAGAAACATTTATTCACAAAAAGGTATTTGACAAGATAAAACACCAAAAGTTCTGCAGACACGTTTATCATGCTGGTTGCACTGTCCAGTATTCGATCACACCCTCAGAATCGACGTCGATCTCTTTTAAAGTTCCGTGCTACACACATGGCTCAGTATCGGATGTGACCCCCTGCAGCAACGATGCAGGCCCAAACACGATGTCGAATTGAGTACACGAGTCTCCTGACATCCTGATTAGGGATCCTACGCCATTCTTTCTGCAGGGCAATTGCCAAGGCATCCCTCGTCAATGGCGGCAGTTGACGTTTCCGATTCCTGCGTCCAAGTTGGTCCCAAAGGTGCTCTATGGGCGACAGGTCCGGTAATCTCCTGGCTGGCTACTGTAATACGATCACGTTGTTGGCGTTCAGAAAGTCGCTGGTGACTCGAGCTGAGTGAGGGGTGGCGTTGTCCTGCTGAAACAGCGTCCATGGGTGTTGTTGCAGGAAAGGAGGTACCACAGCCCTGGTCCATCTGTCTGTGACGTCGGTGTAGAAACGTTAACGTCATGCCCTTGAAAGGTCGATAGGCGCAGAGACCATACAGGCGGAGTCGTCTAGCAACGGTCCTTCTGCTAACTGGATGTCCAAAGCTGTTTGCGGATGATGACGTCACAGTTAGGAATCAGGACATAAGGTGAAGCACCCGTAAATACCTGTCTTCCTGTGGCGTCGTGACCTTGGGTCTTCCACTCTTCGGCCTGTCTGCAGTGCTGCCAGTTTGCCTGTGACGTGTGACATGTCTGGCGATGGTGCACTTGAAGCAGCCCATGATCCTGGCAACGTGCTCCTGCGTCGCTCCCATTTGCAACATACCGATGGTTCTCTCCCTCTGCTCTGCGGTTAGTCGAGGCATGTTCGTTGTTTTAAACGGTTTCATGTGATGAGAGAGTACAATCCTGCTCATGTTTTATACCAGAATTTCATACGGATAACTTTGTGCAGATTTTGCATGTTTTAATGATTAAATTAACTTTTCTCGCAAATCTCGTGAAGCACGTGCACATGTTCACAGGGAATAGGTAAGTTGCATTCCAGCTATGTGTTCCCAACTGTTTTTGTGCTGTTTCTGTTGAAAACTGACGACCATTGTTAATTTGATGGCGTTTCTTTTGCCCCTCAGTTTAGTCACTACATGCTGAATTTGTTTGTAGATCCCCCATCCAGTATTCAGTGCCAAGGCGGCACGGGTGTTCCAGTCGTCTAAGGCGCCAAATGTCGCAGTGCAGAGTTGCGTCCCTTCGGAACGCCTGAAACTTGTGATCCTGGGTTCGAATCCCTGTTCACCCTGATTGTTTCTAGGTTTGTCAACACCATACCCGTGCTCGTGGGTTTAATAAAAGGGGTAAACGTCTGAGAACTACATCACTTCGGGCTTTTCTCCCACTTTAAGCTGATACGCCGTGATATAACTGGAATACTGTTCAAAGAGTTAAACCCAACCCAACCTAACTCAATCACTCCAGTGTTGCATGTGTTAATTTACATATACAGTAGACTGTGCCCCCGTGATGGCGTAGAACTGGTTTCAGGCAACAAGTTAATTCTGAGGGGGGATATTGAAAGTTCAAGTGAAAACGCTAAGCTCTCTGCAAGTCTTCATCGATCCCAGTGCGAGGTTAACGTGTGAGTACTAAGAAGCGCAACGATTAGAGCCCGCCATGAGATGATATCGATCTTTATTGACCGGCGTTATTCCTCCATGACTTATGTCACATACGCCGCCACTAGCACCGCAATGAAGTCCCGTCATTAGTCCTATAACGGTAAACGTACGGCCTGTCTCTCGAATATTTGTTTTCGGGCGCGTTCCTCTGAATGGGTGCTAATACGGCCATGTCATAGGTTCGCATAATATGAAGGATGTGTTACACAGGTCCCGCATGTGCCTAGGGCTTCTCTCAACGAAACGCAGTCAATCGGTGGCTGGAGAAAATCCATATCGATAGAGACGCTAGCGACCTCATAATTAATCCGCTTCTGACGTCACAGGCCTGACGTCATCGTCGCGTAACTACGGAGAAGGAAACGCCGTGTTCAAGTACGGGAGGACGCAACGCGTTGTGTTGTATTGGCAGGCTTGGAAAACGACGCTCGCGAACAGGCGATCGATTGTAAACCCGTAGCGGGCCTCGTGTCAGTGCAGACTGCCTTTAGCCCTCAGCTGGTTGTTGAACGGCAGCCATGGATGATGCTTGGAACGCTCGCTGCGATCAGCCGGGAAATGAGGCCGTGCATGTGGGGTCATACCGGTCAGTTTTCGCCCACTGACACCATATGGCTCCTGTTTATCCCGCCCCACACCCGCACCTTGGGAGGAGACTGGAACAGCCTCAAGGTCAAAGGTAAGGCTTCAGGAAGTGTTGCTCCGTCACGTGACACGTCACTGTTATTCAAGTACTAGCGATGCCGGATTAAAGGTCTTTCATGAACAGGTCTGTATACAGCATGTGTGTACTCTGTATGTATATGTATACATAATATGATTGTGTGATATCCGTGACTCCACATCCTGACAGTCATGTTATCCTGCCTACACGTGTAACGCGCGAACTCTGCTCTAGAACTGGGTACAGACAAACTTTCTCCCGAGATGCTAAAATAAATCTTACACTCAGACCGTTCTGGCCAACCATCACTAAACCAGCCCCACAGCCAGTCCCAACAGTTGTCTTATCAGATGTCATTTTTACAGACTGCTTTTGCGATAGTCCCTAAACGATATTCATGTCAACTTTGAAGAAAGTTCCTCTTCCTCGTTATTGCGCTATCTGTTCAAGATAAGACGATGTTTACTCGATTCTCGGAGTTTAAGTAAACACAAAACTGCTCTCCCTGATGTAAATACATCTTTTATACTATCGCGCCCATGCGTTGAGAATGCACATAATATCATTCTATTTCAGTCGCGGTGACACACGTGTATGCAGACACTCTTAAAATTAGAACGAGACTGTGAATATGTTGAATCTGTTATTAGACCAGTGATTTTTGACTAATAAATACAGTTATGACTACGGGATATATCTATCGATCACAAATATCGATTGTGATGTAGGCGTGATTTCCTTGGAAAAGATCGGGCGTTACCTCGCAATGGATTGACCTTTGTCTAAGACACTCGCTTGTATATGGGGTTATGTAAACATCCATGCCGTATGGCTTAAACGCTTAGTAAGCAAATGTATTCTTTGGGCTTATAAGAATTAATGATTTTCGTTTACTCTCTTTTATCATGGACATGTGTGCCCAGGAATTGAGCTGGTTGATGCTCATATTTGGTTCATTTTGTATGTTTGTTGTTACTGTCTGATTTGTATTTCAAATGGGTGTTTGTACCTTCCTATAGAATAAATAGTTAAATGAAGTTTCTACATGTTAATACGGAACACACAAGTTCAGTTATGGGAATGTTACATTTCATAGGGTACTTTTTTGACAGTTAATGACTTCATTTGTTGATGGTTGTAATGACTGACAATTGTTTTACTTATGTTTTGTGACTGGGCAGGTAAAGTGTCCATTGAAACGGTGATAGGATAGTGGTGTTTGTGGAGGGTGATGGGATAGTGGGGTGTGCGGAGGGTGATGGGATAGTGAGTTGTTAACAGGGTGATGGGATAGTGGGGTGTGCGGAGGGTGATGGGACAGTGAGTTGTTAACAGGGTGATGGGATAGTGGGGTGTGCGGAGGGTGATGGGACAGTGAGTTGTTAACAGGGTGATGGGATAGTGGGGTGTGCGGAGGGTGATGGGACAGTGAGTTGTTAACAGGGTGATGGGATAGTGGGGTGTGCGGAGGGTGATGGGACAGTGAGTTGTTAACAGGGTGATGGGATAGTGGGGTGTGCGGAGGGTGATGGGACAGTGAGTTGTTAACAGGGTGATGGGATAGTGGGGTGTGCGGAGGGTGATGGGATAGTGAGTTGTTAACAGGGTGATGGGATAGTGAGTTGTTAACAGGGTGATGGGACAGTGAAGTGTTAACAGGGTGATGGGATAGTGGGGTCTGCGGAGGGTGATGGGACAGTGAAGTGTTAACAGGGTGATGGGATAGTGGGATGTGCGGAGGGTGATTGGACAGTGGGGTGTTTGCGGGGTGGTGGTGGTGGGGGGGGGGGGGGGGGGGGGGGCGGATCTCAACGACAGAGATAACTTAGCATCTTGGCTTTGTACCATTGCCACTTCCCCCATAGTCCTGGTCTGAGGAATAAGGGGACAGTTCGCTTGTATGAACTTTGACGTACACCACGGATTAACATTTATGCCCTGTGTTGTTTCGTGAGAGTCAGACATCAACCACTGACTACATGTGTAACGTTACACACTCGCGTTTACAGCGCCACTAAATAACCCGTTCATCGTACATGTGTTGATGGGATGCAGGCGGAATGTGCATGGCGCCTTCACAAACACATTCAGCTCCATCGCACCGGTCAGTTCAGAGATATCAATTTCCTTGCCCCTCATAAACATTGATGACTTGACCGGTGGACCCGCACATGGTTAACGAACTTTGGCTCCGTATTTGTTCATGCTCGATGAGGGCCCACACACTTGTAATCTTCAAGCCCTAGTACAGCTTAATAAATTCACGTTTTGATGTAATAACGGCTGTTTCTACTTTCGTTAGGGTTATCCTATGTTCCCTGCGCATGTTTCACAAAGTCGGCCTGTTCTTTGAATGTGTTTACATAATTAGGTGAACCAGATGGTACGAAGACAACTATTCTAAAGTGTCATAATCAAATGTGGACGTATACGTGAGTATATTTACAAATTTACGAACATGACATTTAAAGTATGACATTCGAAAAATATAAAAGTTGTGTTGAGATTTCAAATAACAACAAACTCCCTCTTCCAATGTTGAACACGTGTTGATGAATGACGCGTGTACATTCCTCTGAGACTGCAGGTCTATTTATGACACAGCGACGTCTTTTTAGAGAGCTCCGTGGAATTAAGTATTTACTTTCCAGACGTAAGTTACATTACCAGGTCTTTACACGTAGGGCCTGTTTGCCACTGCCAAATGTTATCAAGCGAGTTTAACAGCTTCCTTCTCCGTACTACTGAACCAAAATAACAAGACAAAACCTCATTTGCAGTTTATCAATAGCGGCAAGGTGATGTTTTTAACTGACTGTCTTTATGAATGACGTTTATTTGTTTGTTGTTTTACGCCGCACTCAGCAATATTCCAGCTATATGACGGCGGTCTGTGAATAATAGAGTCTGGACCAGACAATCCAGAGATTGATATTATGAGCATCGATCCACATAATTGGGATATGATGACATTCATCAACCAAGTCAGCGAGCCTGACCACTCGATCCCTTTAGTCCCCCCTCACAAGCATAGTCACCTTTGGCTAAAGACCTATTCTACCCCGGATTGTGAATACGTGAAAAGTCGGATGTTTGTTGAAAGTCATTACTTTGTCATATCAAATAAACCGTAGACTGTTCATAATATAAACACAATAGTTTATGTTAAACGGCAAATCATGTTTACGATGGAAGTTATGTAAATAACATATTAATGATAGTTTCTTGATCAGTTTTGATGTGTTTCGGATCCACATACTAGTAGCCAAATAAAATACATCATGGCATCGATAAATAACGTAAAAGGCGCGTCAAAATTAACTTTTTCTAAAATACCTAAAAACCAAACGTGTAATTTCATTGTTAATGTGTATTAAATATCAATAACCCAGTGTACGCGCACCTGTTGCATAAAGGGCTTCTCTTGTTGGAATGTCAATTTGACATATAATCGGACCGATAGAAAACAAACCCAGTTACGTCAATTACCATGGGTCTAAATTGTTCTCAAGGGTATCGAGTTATGAAAGTGACTCCAATCTTTAATTACAGTACCATAAATCGTTGACCCGTCGAGAAGAAACCTTACACGCACTAACAGAAGACAACAGTACCTAACTGTTTCTCCTCTGTGGTAAAAACCAAAGTATTCCGCAGTTGCGCTAAATGTGGGAACCCCGCATAGTTGGTAGGGGTGTATGGTTAGTTTGGGGAAGACGAAGATTAGCTGTTATATTTTAAGAAAGCGAACGTCTTTTATGTGTAGGTGGAGATATTCTACCGTTTCCCCTTCTACAGTTCTCCCGCGTTGGTTAAACGACCTGTTTGGCTCTAAAATGGATAGGGGGCAGGTTTTCTGAGGCTGAGGGGAGTGAAGAGCTCCAGATCTTTGGCACCACCCTTCCAGTGTAAGGAGCTGTGGTTGCTATAGCAATACCACTGGCGAGGTACAAGGAGTCGCCTGATATGAAACGCTTTGTTGATATTGCGCCATATTGGATGTAATTAATCGCTCACACGTGACGTCGACATATTGCCAATTCTTGATTGCGAAATACTGCAATTGTAATTAGAAAAGGTCGCAATGTTCTACAGCGGTATTTGAATAATAACTAATTAATCATATCGATGAACTTTAAGCACTGATGGTCGTAATTATGACCATGTTTCTTTCAAACAATTTATGTGGTGACATTTTTATTTGGGGCCACAAAAGTACTTGTTTATATTGCAGTGAAAGATGGAGATTTACGGAGGGAATAAAATATCACTAAGGCAGATACGTTCACAAGGGTAGTTGTCCGTCCCAGAGGAGAGATATAAGTGCACCCACGATTTCAGTATCAACATGTCATAACACTGTCAGACACATTATTATTTATGGTTGAAATATACAACACAACGCGGCATTCACGTGATGTGAAATTAACCTCGCGTCAGCTGATCGCGACAAGTCATCTCCTGGGAGTATCAAAACTTGAGGGTAATATGGAATTGGGAAATCACGAGAATCGCCTTTCGAAACAATTTATATATAACTTTGCATAATGACCTATAGATGCGTCAGGTTTACTTGGTAAAATGCAAGTAAAATGACCAGTGAATTTCTGGCTCAGAATAGACTGCGAGAACAATAGCGTGACGTCAACAAAATGGTTTAGCTGTAGTTATAAACACTAATCATAGTTAATAGCAATGTCATCCCTCTCATCAGATCTGACGAACTCAAAACCCTGTTTATAAAGCGATGTCAGCTGAAATGTTACACTAATACTGATATAGAAGACTAACATATAGTCTTTGAACACAATACATTTCTCTTCTCTAAAATTAAAACAATTAATCTTCCTTGTATTAATCTTACTGATTTCAGCTAGAGCTGGCTAGACTTGCATTTATGTAAATGGTTTTGTTTTCAAGAAATACCTATATTCCACAGTCATCGTGCTGGGCTATACCTACACAGAGGCATACTTAATAACTCCTACTACTACTACTACTACTACTACTACTAC